TGAGCTAAGCCTTGGTGTGCTGGGCTCAATTAAGTTCGCTGAATGTTGCCTTAAGATTTAACTTCGAGGCCCAGATGTGGCTTTCTTTAACTTGTTGCTTATAATACTGATAATTGAAAAATTAAAATTGTACATATTTACAGTGATGCTTCAGTATATATGTATCACGAGCTGTTTAAATTAGGTTAAATGGATCTACTCAAAGATTTATCATTTTATGGTAAAAAAAATCATTCAAAATTGCTTATTCTAGCACTAAGGCACGTATATCAGTGTAATCCCGATGTCCTAGGTCCATGTGTGCCTATAGGTTTTTGACAAAGCTATGTACCTATGTTTGACATTGGTCTTACAAATGTTTGGGAAAAAAGCAAATGTTTTCATACATTTCTATATATTTGTTTTCAAGCATAATTTTCCTACATTTCTTTTTTGTATTTTTTGTTGTTGTTGTTTGTTTTTTTCAAGACAGAGTTTCTCTGTATTGCTTTGGAGCCTGTCCTGAAACTCTTTCTGTAGACCAGGCTGGCCTCAAACTCACAGAGATCTGCCTGCCTCTGCCTCCAGAGTGCTTGGATCAAAGGCGTGCATCACCAACGCCTGACTATTTTCCTACATTTTTTTCCAAAAAGAAAATCATTTATTTATATACCACAAGGAAGAACTTAGGGTAATTAAGTTATTTTTAATTAAGTCTTTTTAACTTTTTACGCATGTCACTTTCAGTTCCCTCTCCCTCCCCTCCTTCCCCATCCCACAATCCTCCCAATCCTTCACCCCCACTTCATCCTCCCTCTGTTCCCCAGGGAGGGCAAGGGCCTCCATGAGGGATTTTCAGAGTCTGTCACATCATCCCGGGAAGGGTCCAGGTTCTTCCCCATGTGTCCAGGCTGAGAGAGCATCCCTTCACATGGTATGGGTTCCCAGAGTCCTTCAGTATGCCATGAATAAATACTGCTCCACTCTCCAAGGTCCCACAGATTGCCAAGGCCTCCTCTCTCTTACACAGGTTCTGTGGAAGGGTGTCTGGCTCAGTCCCATGCTGGACCCTCAGTCATCAGTCTGGTGTCCATGTGTTCCCCCTTGTTTAGGTCAGCTGCCTCTGTGGGTTTCTCCAGCCCAATCTTGATTCCTTTTGTCATCACTCTCCTTTGCAAGTGGGTTCCAGGAGTTCAATTCGGTTCACAGCTGTGGGTGTCTGCCTCTGCCTCCATCAGCCACTGGATGAGGGTTCTAGGATGGCATATAAGGCAGTCATCATTCTCATTATCATGTGAGGGCATTTAAGGTAGCCTTAATGCCAGTTGGTGCCATTCTTGTGGATCTGTGAAGATCTCACTAGTGCCAGATCTCTCCTCCAATTTATACTGGCTCCCTCTTTTATGGTATCTCCCATCCTTTTCTTCTCTATACTTACCCTGGCTCAACCTTCCTGCTCTCCCATGTCCTTCTCTCCCCTCCTCTTTTCTCCCTCTCTTTCTCCCTTCTGCTTCTACCCTCCTCTTCTCCACCCCCCAATCCAATTAGGAGATCACATCCCCTAACCCGTCTCTGGATTACCATGCATATTTCTCTTAGGGTCCTCCCTGAACCCCAGACTCTCTGGCTGTGGGGTTGTGGGCTGGCAATGACCTGCTCCATTTCTAAAATCCATATATGAATGAGTATATACCATGCTTGTCTTTTTGTAACTGGGTTACCTCACTCAGAATGGTTTCTTCCAGTGCCATCCATTTGCCTGTAAATTTCAAGATTCCATTTTTTTTCTATTGAGTAGTACTCTATTGTGTAAATGTACCACATTTTCTCTATTCACTCTTCAGTTGAGGGGCATCTAGGTTCTTTCCAGGTTCTGGCCATTATAAATAATGCTGCTATGAACATAGTGAGAAGATGTCCTTATTGTATGAGGGTACATTTTTTGGGTATATGCCTGAAAGTGGAATTGCTGGATTTTGTTGTAGAATGATTTCCATTTTTCAGAGGAGTCTCCATACTGATATCCAAAGTGGCTGCACAAGTTGGCATTCCCACCAGCAGTGGAGGAGTATACCCCTTGCTCCACATCCTCTCCAGAATAAACTGTCATTAGTGTTTTTGATTTTAGCCATTCTGACAGGAGTGAGATGGTATCTTAGAGTTGTTTTGATTTGCATTTCCCTAATGGCTAAAGATGTTGAGCACTTTCTCAAGCGTCTCTTGGCCTTTTTGGACTCCTCTATTAAGAATTCTCTGTTTAGTTCTGTACCCAGTTTTTAATTGGATCCTTTGGTGTTCTGGAGACTTGCTTCTTGAGTTCTTTGTATATTTTGGAGATCAGCCCTCTGGTAGATGTGGGGTTTGTGAATATCTTTTCCCATTCTGTGGACTGTCATTTTGTCTTGTTGACTGTGTCCTTTGCTCTGTAGAAGCTTCTCAGTTTCAGGAGGTCCCATTTATTAATTGTTGATCTCAGTGTCTGTGCTACTGGTGTTATGTTCAGGAAGCTGTTTCCTGTACCAATTTGGTCAAGGGTACTTCTCACTTTTTCCTCTAAGAGATTCAGTGTGGCTGGATTGATGTTGAAGTCATTGATCCATTTGTACTTAAGTTTTGTGCATGGTGATAGATATGGATCTATCTGTTGTCTTTTACATGCCAGCATCCAGTTACTCCAGCACCATTTGTTGAAGATGCTTTCTTTTTTCTATTGTATAGTTTTAGCTTCTTTGTCAAAGATCAGGTTTTTAAAGGTGTGTGGGTTCATACCAGGGTCTTCGATTCGATTTCATTGGTGTACCTGTCTGCTTTTGTATCAATACCAAGCTGTTTTCAGGACTCAAAGAATTCTACCAGGAAACTCCTACAGCTGATAAACACCTTCAGCAAAGTGGCAGGATACAAAATTAACTCAAAGAAATTAGTAGCCCTACTATATATAGACAATAAAGGGGATGAGAAAGAAATCAGAGAAACATCACCCTTTACAATAGCCACAAATGCCATAAAATATCTTTGGGTAACTCTAACCAAACAGGTAAAAGACCTGTGTAACAAGAACTCTGAGTCTTTAAAGAAAGAAATTAAAGAAGACACCAGAAAATGGAAAGATCTCCCATGCTCTTGGATAGGTAGGATCAACGTAGTAAAAAATGGCAATCTTACCAAAAGCAATCTACAGATTCAGTGCAATCCCTATCAAAATACCAGCACAATTTTTCACCGACCTCAAAAGAACAATCCTCAAGTTTATATGGAAAAACAAAAGACCCAGGATAGCCAAGGCAACCCTGTACAATAAAGGAACGTCCAGAGGCATCACAGACTCTGACTTCAAGCTCTATTTTCATACATTTCTTAAGGACAAAAATATCACCCCTTTGCCTGACCCTTCCCTCTGTTTCTATTTGAGATGCTATAAGATTTCCTAATTATATTGGGGAGGGGGAGAAGCGGAGGGCAGAAGGAGATGGGAAAAAGAGAGGGAGAGAAGAGGAGGAGAGAGGACGACACAGGAGAGCAGGAAGGTTGAGCCAGGGTAAGAATAGAGGAGAAACGAATGGGAGATACCATAAAAGAGGGAGCCATTATAAGTTGGAGGAGAAATCTGGCACTAGTGAGATCTTCACAGATCTACAGGAATGACACCAACTGGCAATAAGGCTACCTTAAATGCCCTCACATGATGGTGAGAATGATGACTGCCTTATATGCCATCCTAGAACTCTAATTCAGTGGCTGATGGAGACAGAGGCAGACACCCACAGCTGTGAACCAAATTGAACTCCTGGAACCCAATTGCAAAGAGGAGCAATGACCAAGGGAATCAGGATCAGACTGGCGAAGCCCACAGGGGCAGCTGACCTAAACAATGGGCATCACATGGACCCCAGACTGATGATTGGAGGGCCAGCATGGGACTGATCCAGACACCCTCTCACGGAACCTGGGTGAGAGAGAGGAGGCCTTTGCAATCTGTGGGACCTTGGAGAGTGGAGCAGTATTTATTCCTGGCATACAGAGGGACTCTGGGAATCCATGCCATGTGGAGGGATGCTCTGTCAGCCTGGACATGTGGGGAAGAACCTGGGCCATTCCCGGGATGATGTGACGGACTCTGGAAATCCCTCATGGATGCCCTTGCCCTCCCTGGGGAGTGGAGGGGGGATGGAGTGGGGGTGAGGGTTTGGGAGGATTGTGGGGTAGGGGAGGAGGGGAGGGAGAGGGAACTGAAAGTGACATGTGTAAAAAGTTAAATAAAAATATGGGAAAAAAGATTTCTGAATGAATCTTTGCCTGTATCTGAAGGAAACTAAGTGACCTGCATTAGTCATTGGCTGGTACAGAAGATACACAATTTCTCTAGTGCCATTTGCTGAAAGGTACTTTTTCCGACACAATATTTACAGTCACTAAAATATGGGATCAACATAAATGTTCATCAGCTGACATATGAATAAGTATATAGTATGGAATGTTATTTAGTTATGAAGTGAATGAAAGCCAGTCATCTGTTACAATATGGACAGAGACAGGGACTATGATATTCAGTGGGAGAAAGGGGAAACAGAAAGGGAATTACTGCATGATTTCATTCATGTTTGATTTTAAAATTGTTGATCATATGGACACTATGAATAAAGTGGTGGGTCTCAGAGATGGAGGGTGGGGTTGGGTGAGACTGAAGGTTGAGGATTGGCCAGTGGTTGTTACGTTATTTTTCTATAAGACTGGGAAGTCTGGTGTGATGCTTCACCATGGACATCTCAAGATGCTGACTAAATATTGTGCAGTAAGGAAACAGTAAGAGAGGAAATTGAAATTTTTCACAAGAAAAAGTGATAAGTGTTTAAGGAGATGTACTTAATCTGCTTTAGTCATTACATAATACACAAATGTACTGAAACATCACTGGGAGCACCCATTAAAAATGTGTAATTTTTATGTTTTGTGCTGGTTTCAAAAGTACAGAAAAACGATGAAGCTAGACTTAGTTCATTCACTTTTCCTTCCTACTTCAGATCCTGTCTGGGACTCTTACTCTGTGTTTGACCCTGCCTCTGAGTCTCAAACCCAGCCTCAATCAGAATCTAAAGGAAACTGGTAAGAAGACTTCAATTTAGCCCAAATAATTTTTAGGCAATTGTAAAACCTGAATTCTAGAATATTCTGTGAAAACTGGTATGAACTAGAATTTTAATTACCTACCATTTTTTTTGGCTTTTGTTAAATTCTCTGATGTTTGTTACTTTGCAGTTTTAACTTTTCTACTAGTATTTAGCCATTCCAACTCTATTCCCAAGGGATAGACTAAGACAGATGGCTGCACCGAATTGATTTTGTCTTAAACTCATCAATGAAGTAGATGATCTCTTATATTTAAGAATAATGTTGTTAGCATTTTATGGGTGATGTCTTAGAATCTAATGAGCTTCTAGCAACTGTTGTAAACTTATTACTTGGATAAATATTTTAAAGAGAACAAAATTTCATTTTTATGTGTGTTCTACCTTGTCACCACCACCAAAATATCTTTCTTTGCTCTGAAGTAAATTAGATGGCATGATGTCTTTCTCTCAGCTGGGGCCTCATTTAAAACACCCACAATGAGGTGGGTCTGACAGGCCTTTTAAGATCTGAAGTTAGCTCTGCCACATCAGGTAAAATAAAAAATCAACCTAGAGATCCAATCAGCCCATGCCTCCTCTTCTGACTTCAAAGATGATAGTGACCACAACCTGCACCAGAGAGACCAGAAGACTTTTTATCTCTGCCTCTGTCAGTGAGGAGCCCATGCATCCTAAATTCGACACCCACCCAGAGTTGTACAGGTAGAACACACCTATATGTTTTGATGTCCTTCCCTTTGTGCTTGCAAAACAAAAGACTCCCTCTTCTCACAAGAAAAGGATCTCAATGTTGGATGTTGAGATTTTAAGACTTGTAGCTTCGATACTTCTATCATGAGGAATTAATTTCTTAGCTCCTTGGCTTTCCCATTTGTAAAGCAAACAGAGCTGTGAAACCCATCAAATGAGAGAAGATGAGGAAAACAGGATCATTGTGAGAATCATCCAAATTTTCTTTAAAATATGAAGTGGGGTATAGACATTCAATGCTTACAAATATCTCTCTGGATAGTCAAGCGTTTGTATGATGTTTAATTCGCATAGCAATTTAGATGATCTTACACTTAATGGGTATGTTCATTCCTCATTTTATTCAATTTTGTAGCTTTCTTTGGTAACTTTTAATTAAGTCTTACCTGACTTGTAATTTAGCTAAAATTTAACAAGCACACGTGCAAACAGAATATTTTCATGTTATGGTTTATTATGGAATATTTATCTTCTTGCTTACTCTCCTTTTGAAGTCTGGTAAGAACATTTCACTGTAGTTATCAACTTTAGACATGACCTTTTTTTCTTTTTTTGTAATTCTGTAGGGTCTCTCTGAAGACATAGAACAGGAACATGATACCAACAACAGACACGAACATTCCTGTTTCCATTTTGGTTCATTTTTGAGATTATAAGTACATTTATCCCTTCCCCTTTCTCCCTCCAAACCCTTCTATAAAAGGCTCTCTTTAAAATTCATAGCCTCTTTTTTCATTAATTCTTATTACATTCATAAATGTGTGTATGCATATAGTCTTACTACAGCCTTCTCAGTCTGTATAGTGCTACACATACGTATGTTTTCAAGTCTGAGCATTTGGGATTGGATAACCAATTGGTGTGCTCTTCCCTAGGGAAGACTATTTCTTGTGTAGGCCTGAGGGCTCTTGGGCGTTTCTCCTGGCCACTTTAGCAAGTCTATTGCTGGTGTCCTTGTTCAGCTCATGTTCAGGCCGTCATGTTTGTAAGACTTAGTGGATATAGTTTCTGACATTACTTGGAGACAGAGCTTTACAACAAACTCTCTGCTCTTCTGGCTCATCTGTTGCAAGGATTTCCATGATGAGTAACCTTCCTCCTAAGATACCTTAATTATTGTTTATATTATTTTGAATACCTGCGTTTGAATCTCCCTATTGTGTGATTCATCATATGGCTTCAAACACACAGTAACACTGAGTAAAAGGAAACTAGGGTTGGCTTTAAACACAAGAGCAGTCTCTGTTTTTCTTTTGCTGCTGGGTTCTCTGACACCTGCCAACTAAACTATGCCTATTCTGCATTAGTCTACAGAGCCCAACAAGGCATAAATGGTGATATCTATGCTTCCTTAAAGCTGTGTATCCTAGCAACCAAGTGTGTATTTTATCACAGTATCTTCAGTAATTAGGAACCAAAGCAGTGATAGTCACTTAACTGCTACATCTGAAATTAGCCACAGTTGAGAGGGTCAGTAATAATCATGGTCATTGGAGGGTTGAAAGAGTTATAAGCCACGTTCACAATTAAAAGTATTCCAAAACAAAGAAAAATAATGACAATAAAATTGTAATGCAAAGTACTATTAAAACATTTAATGCCGCCGGGCGGTGGTGGCACACGCCTTTAATCCCAGCACTCGGGAGGCAGAGGCAGGCAGATCTCTGTGAGTTCGAGGCTGGGCTGGACCGACAGCCTCAAAAACAATACAGAGAAACCCTGTCTCGTAAAAACCAAAAAAACAAACAAACAAAAAAAACATTTAATGCCTCTTCCTCCTGAGTGCTGGGATTAAAGGCGTGTGCTACCACTGCCCTGCAAAAGTTTAGGACCAGCCTGATCTACAAGGGCTAGTTCCAGGACAGCCTCCAAAGCCACAGTGACACAGAGAAACCCTGTCTTGAAAAACAACAACAACAAAAACAACAACAAGAAAAACAAAAAAGAAAAAGAAAAAAAGGAAGAGTTTATTCTTTTTAATTGGGCATTGGTGGCACACACCTTTGATCTCCCAGCACTGGGGAGGAAGAGGCAGGCAGATCTCTGTCAGTTCGAGGCTAGCCTGGTCTACAGAGTGAGTTTCAGGACAGGTTCCAAAGCAATACAGAGAAACCCTGTCAGGGAACCCCCCCCCCCCAAAAATGTTTAATGCATTTAAAAACAAAGTCTGCTTTTTTTGCTGGCCTCATTATTACTAAATTGTATTACTTTATTTTTTGTACTATTTATAGACAAGAATGGCTGACCAGTTTACTGAATTGTGTTGCTACAATGCTATAACAACCCTAGTGACTTCTCATTGTATCTGAAACATGATGTTAAGTTGTTTTATTTATTAGCAGATCAATCACAGGATGATTGACATTTAACTTCACAGATGTGTGCTTAAGTCTTGAAGATGTTTAGTAACTTAAAAAAAAATCGGATAGCTAGTAACTCTAGAGCCAGCACTTAAATGGTTACAAACTGTCCTTTAATCTTTTCTTCCTCCTTCCCTCCCTGACTGGCTCACTCTGTCATTTTCTGTTTATGCACAGGCTACATATGTATCTGAAGTTCTTAGGGTGATAAATCTTCAGATTTCATTTTCATCATATTTATACATTTGAATGTATATAATAAGTTATTGTAGATTATATGTGTATGTATTCCTGGCATGTATGTCTGTGCCCCACATGTGTGCCTGGTGCCTGCCTAGGCCAGAAGGTGTTGTGTTCCAGGAACTGGAGTTAGAGATGGTTTTGAGCCACTACATGGGTGCTAGAAAACAAACCCAGGTCCTCTAGGAGAGTAACAAGGGCTTTTCTACAGCAAATCATCTTTACGGCCTTACCCCAACTTATATGTTATATATACTTTGTACAAGTCTGGAGACTGTTTTCTGCAATATTTTTGTTGTGCTTATTTTTATTAAAACCTGTCACCTTCAGTGCAAAATTTTTCATTTGTGGCAACACATTGGTACTCAAGAATTTTGGGGCTTAGGAGAATTTATAATTTCCAGGTTATGAATCCTCAGTTTGTATTTATTTGCATGTGTGCATATATGCATATCTATACATGCACAGACAGGCACACACAGAGACTTATATGTTGAAAATTAACTCGTACTATGTGCAATTTGAATGAGAAATATCCCTCACAGGCTCAGATACTAGAGCACTTGTCTCCAGTTGATGGAAGTTTCTAGAGGTTGTTGGATCTCTAGGAGGTGAAGTCTTGTTGGAGGAAGTAACTTACTGGGATTGGGCTTGGAGAGAGTGTAGCTTGATTTCTGTCTGCAAATACATATGATCAGCTGGCTTCCTACTCCCATGCCATGCCTTCTCTGGAACTGTAAATCAAAATCAACCCTTTTTTCCTTAAGTTGCATTTGGCCATGGTATTTTTATTACAGCAACAGAGAAGTAGCTAATACTTTTAGAAGCTTCCCCCTTTTTTTCCTGAAATGAAAGCTGAATTACAGTAGATGGTACACAGAGTATTTCATCTATAGCTATGCTTCAAAAGACACACCTGAAACAGAACACAATAAAAATGGATTCTGGACACAAAATGGCCATTCATATATTTGTTGCAATTCATTTCCCAAGTGAAGCTTTAAAAACTCTTACAATTTGCTAAACTCAATTATCATTGGAACTTGAAATCAATTCCTAATCATTCTTCTGCCTGCTCTTTGATGAAGTCAAATGAAATATGATACAAAAATGATTCATCACATTAGAATTATTTCAGATAGCTTGGAAGCATCATCAAATCCGTTTCCTCTTTCTCCTTGTGTTGAACTTTCCCACCTGGTGGCAGATCTGATGGGCAACAAGCTTCCTCAAAAGAGGCTCTCAACACAAGAGAGGTGACTGTGTTTGAAGAGGGAAGGTTTGCATTATCAAACAGCACAGGCTATACCCTAGGCCTTAGCCTCACCAGCCAGAGGCATCTTCATTCTTTTTCTCATTGGAGGAGATGGAGAGAGGTGAAGGCAACTGGCTACTATTCTAAACAAATAACAGCAGCATCAACAACTATAGCAAAACCAAACTTGACAGATTTTCTACTCCACATTCTTGTTGGGAATAAAATCATCTTCCCCAGTAGAAAATAAATTGGAATCTGGTACTTATGCCAGATTCAGAAAGTCACAGTTGTGCCTCTCATTGGAAAAGTGTTTGTGGAATGACTGTAAGTTGCTCAAGATTAGACAGTCAGCTTCCAAGGCTATCT